GTTGGGTTTGAAGGCTGGGGCCCGGCACTTGCAGGTGGAAGAGAGGAATGCCCAACAGAGGCGGTTCGTGGGCTTTCACTTGAGTGTTTCTTAGTATAACGCAACCGTCAGTTCCTTTATTTTTAAGGTTCCTTCGTATGCCCAAGCTTATATAGAGGACCTTACTTTCTTCAGAAGTGCTTGTTCATATAGAAGCTACACCGGTTTCTGTTTTGCTCTCTGTGTTTTTGGCTGTTCTGTGAGAAAATTACAGATTTTTTTTTTCCCCCCCTTACAAGTTCCTTTGCACAGAACAATGGATGATGAGGGGAAAAACTATGTTTCTGCAGAAGTATCTGATTCGATGTTGGAATCGGTTTCTTTTATGAATGTAGCCAGTAAACCCTCACCTATGGAATCAACAGTATTGCCTAACACAGAGGAACAGGAGGTGTGAATTCGTTTTGTAATGTCTTCTGATTATGCTTTTTCTTAAAAAAAAAAAACCCAACTTTAATTCTGGCAAATATTTATTTGGTAAGGGCTGCTGTGTTCTGCTGCCCCCAAAATGTGTTTGATTCTTCTGCTTACTTCTCGTTGCTTACAAATACGTCATAGACAGTAGTAAATGGGGATGGTCATTACTACATGATGTGTTGTCCTAAGCTTTTGAGAAGGAGGTAAATTAGGACTTCAGTAATTGCTCTTTGAATGTCATGCAACTGTACTGTTTTTTTTAATAAGCTAGGAAAGGATCTACATCCTTGTGGAAAGCTTGTTAGGTGCTTGGAAATAATCTATAATGCTGTGCTGTGGTATACTTTTGAAGATAGTATAGCCATCTCTGCTTTTTTAGAATGGTAGGTTTCCTTATTGACTTTCCTCAGGTGATTTAATTTTGTATGATTAGTGGAGTGCGGCTCATGTGGAGACCTCTGGTAACACATCTGATGAATGAACAAGTTGCCAAAGTAGGGCCTTTGAAGCTCCATGAGAAAGGAATGCTGGGATCCCTCTAAAAATCTCCTTGCTATTATTGCTTCACCTGGAGGTGGAGACCTTCGTATGGTATGGAAAAGCCTACCTTAGCAACTGGGAACCGTTTCATGGTTGTTGCTGTAAGGAAGATGAGGTGCTAGTGCCTGGATGGTCATAATGAAGTAGTCTCTTGAGGCTAAGGATGCGTCAATCTATTAACTGAACATGCACCATACAAAATGGAAGTGCAGTACTGCAGAGCAGCTGTTAGAAAATACAGCTTGAATTCATTACAGAGGGAGACCAGAAGGTGGAAGCAGTGCAGTTTACACCTCCGATAGTGTGATCTTATTAAATCAAAATCTTGACTTTGGCATAAAAGAATACTAAGAGGGGGGAGGGAGGGAGGTGACAAAAAAAGGTTTACTTAAGGACATTAGGAAGTAAAGAAGCAAAGGAAAGCTTAGGGTCCAAACTTCACAAGGAAGGAGAAAGCAAGGCAGTAAGATAAAATAGGAAATACTGCGTCAGAGGTGTATGGTGATATGATCTGGGGGTGTTCTGTTTAAAAAGTGGCCATTGTAACGCTGTATTTTTTTTTTTTTAATGAATAGGCATATCAACCTTTGAAAGTCTTCTTGAGGGTGAGGCCCTTTTCTATAGCAGAGCTTGAAAACCATGAATCTCAGGTTAGTTGTAGAATTAAGTTTTTCTTCTCCCCCAAAGAACACCTGGCTTTGTAAGCCAGGGCTCTATTTTATAAAAGCCATGTACTGTTTCCAAATAGAATTAGTGGACAACTGGATAAATGTGACTTTTTTTTTATGACAATTGTTACTGATTTACATGGTACACCTGTAGCTCTGCAAAATTTCACTGGGTATATTATTTAAAAGTCGGCGTCACTCTTGACTCTACACAGTGCTGAAAAAATGAAGGCATTGCATGGAAGAGATGATGCGATTCTAGGAGTAATTCGGGTATCTGACCCTTGAGTTTCTTTGGACTGCCTGAATAGTCTGCTACCTCGTCTCGGTGACTTGCTGTTCATCCTGTTAAATTTTTCTATAACATCTACAGTTTATACTGTCAGATGCTTCAGACATACATGTGCACATGCAAACACACAGAAATACTCCTCCTTCCCCTTGCCCCCCTCCATTGTGAGTACTCATGCAAAGAATTCATTTAGCTGTCCTTGGAGGATAAGCTCTCTGCAGCATATCTGTCAGCCCTCACATTTGCAGGGTCTCAAAGGCTCTCTGATAGACCTCTTGTTCCTGACCTGTTTGAAGAAAAATTTAGTATTAGTTCTCATTTGCCGCTTGTGATTTGCTTTTCTTTAAAATGTTTTCTTGCATTTAATCTTCCAGAGTTGGACCCTTTGTATTTTTTTTCACTTGGATTATTTTTTTCCCCTCAGTTTACATTCACTTTTCCTTAGGCAGTTCTTGTTTAGTAGTATGCACTGCCACAGTGCTTGTGGGATTAGCTGGGGGAGACAACAAGAGTGATGTGTTACCAGCTAGATTCCAGCTTTGTACATCTGACTACCTCAAGGCCTCACAAGCATCTATGAGCCCGTTGGCAGCTGATGGCATGTGCTGCAGGTGTTGGATTCTCCCTAGGATTTAGTACATCTGACCTGCATACCTGTTCCTGGAAATGTGGGAGGAGTATTAAAGAGTATATGGATTTAGAGCCTGGCACAGTGAGCCAGTGATTGGTATAAATTCAGTACCCAGCTTTTTAGAGCCTCTATACCAGCTGATAAAGAAACTTGTTAATCGAGACTCCTAGAAAGAGCAGTACTTCCTGTGTACACGCTATACATGGATTATTAGTCTTACCAGCCATGGCCAGCCTCTGAACATAAAGGTCAGATTTAGTTAGAATCAATCCTTGTGGCTGATGCTTCAAGACACTTTTAAGCTATACTGGTAGTTCAGTTCATATTTAAAATAAATTTTCCTGGGATACTGCATTCTACATTTCTCTAGTTAGTGAGTGCTAGGTAATTGCATCTCACCTTGACTTAATTGAGAAATAGCAATCAAATTACTTGAAACTAATTCAGTTTCCTTCATTACTGTTAACACCATCTGTCAATCAAAGGATAATGCTTCAGACTTATTTTACTTTATTTATGCTGGTCATAGCTTGTTTCTCACTGAAAATGATTGAAGTGGAAAACCAGTAGATTTCTATGTAGCTTTGTTTTCACAGGTAGGATTGTGCAAGCCACCATCACAAAATACCAGGGTTTAGAAAGTGTTTCAAAAAAAAAAAAAGTTGCTGGAAGGAATCCTTGAAAAATGTTATACTTCTTAGAATACCTCCAGATGATTGACTTTACTGTGTCTACACTCAGGTTCTCATGTGAAGTGGATATCTCTGTAATTGTTACACACCTCAAGAGAGGTTATATGTAAATTTTGCAACTCTTTGTAGCTCTAGTAAAGAGATGAAAACACTAGGGTTTTTGTTGTGGGGGTTTATTGTTGTTTTGTGTGTTTGTTTTTAAGAAAAGCTTTCTTCCTTAATAATTTTGTGTGGTGTTTTGGTTTACCTAGTCTTGTTTTTTTTAAGGGTTGTGTAACTATTGAAGATTCCCAGACAGTAATTCTTAGTGCCCCCAAGGAGTCTTCTACAATGAAAAACAGTGAAAGAGGGATTGGTCATTCCGTGTACAGGTTCACCTTTTCTCAGGTAGGCAAACTTTTTTTCTAATTTTTAGTTATAATTTGTTTTTTCCCCACTGTAATGATAAAATTGAATTTTCTATTATATCATGCAATGTAATGTTCTTTTCTTTGAAGTACATGTGGTGGTACTTGCCTTAAGAAATACAGACTGCTCATTATTTAGGCTTATTAGTTAGGCTGTTAGGAAAGCAGTATTACAATGGAGGTGCATATTAGATGAGATAAGGAAGCTTCTTAGGTAGCTCTCTTGTTTTCTTTGATTAGATGCCACAGAAGCTTCTTAGTCGGCACAAACTTACAGTGGTTCTGCTGTTCCTGCAGATGCCCACATCTGGGAAGTGTTTCAGGAAATCACTTGTTTAAAGGGACTTATGTAGGCCTGTGTTTAGGGACTTTCTTTTGAAAGAATAGCAGCCTAACTGCTTAAACCTTCTATACTGGCAGTAAGTTTCTTTAACTCTGTTACCTACTGCAAGAACTTCTGTTCTTACAGTATCAAAACATAAACAGCTCCAGGCATTGAGCCATTTAAACCATTGCAATGCTGGTCATCTCATCACTTGTGGGTGACTGGTACAGAGTGAGGAGGGAGTTGTGCATCACCAGCAGAGCTCTTGAAAGCATCCACTAAATAGTATGTGCTCAGTAGCATTCTGAGTAGTTTATTTTTGAATATTTTCCTACTCCTAAAATAAGTGCAAGCCTGAGTGCCTCTGAGAATTAAGCAGACATCCTATGAGAACCCAACAGAAAACATTGAATCAGAAGGGGTTCAGGCAAGACAGAAAACTGAGCTAGTATCTCGTACTCTGCTTACTCTGAAAAACTAGTTGCTATTAATCAATGCTTAATATTTTGATATATTCAACTTTTGTGCCGTTTAACACCCTTTTTTTTTTTTTTTTTTTTTCCTTTCTATTCTCCCCCATCTGCCTTCTCCAAGGTCTTTGGACCAGAAACTACTCAGAGCGAATTTTTTGAAGGCTCAATGAAAGAGATAGTAAGAGCGTATGTTAATGGAGTGAACGGACTGGTGTTTACTTATGGGGTTACAAATGCAGGCAAGACATTCACTATCCAAGGTATAAAATGTTTGCCAAAAAGCATATATCACAACCAAGTCAAAATCCAATGAGAAGTTTGTATGAATGTCTACATTTTATGTTTTGTTATTTTTAAGGGACCTCAAAAGATTTTGGTATTTTACCTCGCTCACTTGATGTGATTTTTAACCACATAAGCGGAAGACATTATCTGAAGATGAACTTCAAACCATATTTGAGTAATGATATTAAGAAACTGGAAGATGCACAAGTTAAGCAAGAAGAAGCTATAAAAACTGCTATTCTTGCATCCCTGAAAGAGGTTAGTGACCAAATACTTCCTTGTTGCCAAATGAAGCTTCTTAAAAACTTCTGACTAAGTGTCTATCTTTAATAAAATCTCTGTTTCACTATTGATTCTTTAGATTTATCTAAATCTACAGTAGGAATACTTGGTGAACCTTGGAATAATAAGGCAACTGGCTGGTTTTGGAGCTCAGGGTAAACTGGCAGAACTTTCTGCAGCACGCAGTTCAAACCAAAAACCGTTACAAAGCCTGGATTTCCACAGAGGAGCAGTTCTGACACTGTGGTGACACTAGCCCTTGAAAAGTCTGAGAGCTGGCCTATCTAACACCTGCTTCTTGTTTAAGTGGGTCTTCTTTTAGGTCAGGTTCCCAGGCTGGATCTCTGGGCAGTTGCTCAAATTCCAGTGCTAGCTCAGGAGAGATGATGGCAGTGTCTTAGCAGAGGCAGTGAAGAAGGCAGAAGAGCCCCTTTTGGTGGAAGACAGTCTTAAGGCAGATTACAAACATGGTAAATCTGTGATTTGTGTAACTTCATAAAGAAACTTTTCTGATACAGCAAGTGAAGTGAGATGCCACAAAATGAGTTTCCTAGAAGGATTACAGCCTGCTTTAGAGGATTGTATGTATCTTTTATTGTGGTCTCTGAAGATTGTAGGTAGACTAGAAGAGTCTTTACTGTGATAGCCTCCTGTTCTCATTATCTAGTGATTTCCATTTCCATTGTAAGAAATGGCTCTCTCCAGAAAACAGGCACTCTTGTGTCTGTGACTGTTCTATACTTCTAAGCCCAGTTGCGAATTCTCACAAGATGTCTGGCTTTTTTTCCTTGTGTTCAGAACATTTTTAACCTGAACTGTGAGCCTACTGCATTTTGGGATTATCATTCAAAGCAACACTGAATGGATTCTGGGAAGTAGAGAAGCAATGATTGACTGGATTTTCTTTTTTCTGTGGTCTTTAATCCCAATGTTGTTAAAAGTATTCCTGTTAGCTCTGAAAGAATATCCTTCTGTGGATCATATTGATATGTAAAGTTCCACTCTAAAGTCTATTGCTTAATTTTAACTCTGCGAGTGGAACTTCATTTAGTCTGGGTCTAGTTAGCTTTTGAGGAAAGACCTTGGATGAAAAATCTAAAAGATGCTAAAGATTGCATATTTATTTTGAGAGTGTCTTTAAAAGCTCACTTGCACTCTGTGTGTGTGCATAGGATAGTAAGTAAATATTTTTTAAAACTTATGGAACCCACAAGCTTGCAAGAAGGAACAAGCAGGAGCTCAAAGTCTAGAACAGGGGGCAAATATCTTACTTTGAAGATAACCCTATACTTTACAAATATTCCTTTCTGTTAAATCACAGTATGATTTTATTAATAATTTAGTTACTGAATGTCGGAGTAGGTGATCTAGTTGCTGATGCACTACAGTGAAAAGCAAGCAAGAGTCCACCATCAGGAAGGAAAGGCAAAAACACATCTAGAAAATAAGCAAGGTCTTGTCATGTATTATGTGTTACAATGCTTCCATAGTGATAGTTCAGCTATCTGAAGCTGTGCGTTGTGATAGCTTGTGAATAGCATCACTGTTCAGATGTTCACTCAGGCTTGTAATCTGAGAGCAGATATGGTTTGGTGGGCTTGGTTTTGGTTTACATGGATTTCTGTAGGCCCTGTTCCCAGGCTCAGTTTACATGTCATGCAGAAAGAGCCCGCTGTTCCTTTCATTCTCTCATTCTCTCAGTTTAAACTTCTACCAGTTACTGCAATACCCTTGCATTTAATGTTTTACTGTTTATATTCTCTATACAATACTGCTGCAAAAACTCTTGCTTGGCATGGTTCATACCCTCTCTTTCCTTTCCTTTACTTGCTCTATTCACTGGATTAAATACTGGGTTTTACTGGAGCAAAAGCTGCTTTACTTGCATTCCTATTCCCACCTGTCCTCATATTTGCTATTAAATGTCAGCTTCTGTCACTGGCAAACAATGTCAGTTCCTGTTCCCACTTGTTTTCAGGCAGTCATCTTCGTGTTCTTTTCTGTACTTAGTCTTATGATTTGAAGAGCAGCATAGCAACAAAGCTAATTAACTCAGTTCTGTTGAAATACCTTTGCAAAAACTTACCATGTGCACAAGTACTGTGGTACTGGGTTTTTTACATTCCTTGACATGCATAGATGTGCCATGCATGTCAGTCTCTCTACCCTGCTTTAGAATTCTGATTTATACGTTACAAACACAATGAACAGAATCCACGCTTGTGGTTATATTTGTAACTACTCAAGCAACATAAATGTATAGACAGTGCAGTCTTTGCAAAATAGTAATTTATAAAATAAGTGGCAACAAAATTGTATGCTATTTGTCTTTAAAACGGAAGATCTGCAAGTATGGCTTCATACTCTTCTGTTTGTAAAAAATCTGTTTTGGATATGCCAAGTGAGTAATGTAGGCATCAGTAGACAATCCATAATGAACTTAGCCCTGCATTCTAATAGCTAGAATTAAAGTTTACTTCTTTGAATCGGTTCCCCTCTTCTATTCTAGGATGACCCTCTATCAGGATTGGGGGTTTGGGAAATCGAGGTGAATGTCCTAATGTATAAAATATGGGGAGGGAGGTAGTATGTGGAGATGTTGGAATCTCTAGACAGTGGGTGTGGCTACTTGATTACACCAGTTTTCATAGCTGTAATTTGAAGTCTATGCTTTGACAAGTCTTGGCAGGTTTATAAATAATTTTGTTGATGTAAAGAAATTCAGCAAATGTATGTACTTAAAGAAACTGTGCTGTTATCTATACAGGATTTTTAATGGCCCTTTAATTCAGTCTGAATTAAACCAACACTCTGTGTTGGTTTATCAGATCTTTAAGTCCTTTAGGAAGCTGTCGTTTCACTCTGAGGTCTTTAAGTTTGACTCACTCTCACAGACCTGGTGATGTGCAAAAGTGATTGGCAACAAGCAAGCAAATTATGAATCTTGGCTGCTTTAGTGTCTCTGCCTACCACCATGCCATCTGCCCCTGAAAGAAACTTGCTTTTCCAGTTCTTTTGGTTGACTGAAATACTGTTTAGATTTGTCCAGTACCCCATAATGGCTTTTTGAGCTGTTGCAGTCTGACAGAGGATTTTGGTTCTCCCAGATCTGTAAAGTCAGTCTGCTATACTAGCAGCAATTGGCCTCTAAACCAGGTTGCTTGGAGAGCAATAATTCTTGTGAGGGAAGGAGTATTTATTGATTTTTAGTTTGGTATTGTTAAAAACATTTCATTTGCAGCCAGAGGAAGGGTGACTTAACACTTAACACTACTGCAATATTTAAATCTTAATGGAATTACTGTCGTTTTTTACTTCTGCTGTTCTCATAGTCTGTTCATGGGGATGTAATGGTCTCTTATTTCCTTAAGGAGACAGAAACCATCTCAAGTACTACAAATATGTGTGATGTGGAGACGCCTTCTTCCAACTGCACTTCAAAAAGTGTTCCTTCTGATTCACTAGGTAAAATAAAGTGGGAAAACTTTGTGTGGGGAAAAAAAACCAACGGAAATTTAGGAATATAAGTGCATAATTATTGGTGAACTAAAAAAATCTCTGCTATTCTACAAAGTAAATATATGTAGTTTTTAACCAAATTTTAATGGCTCAACTGGGGAGAAAAAGTAACAATGTAAAAACATTTTGATAGCTTTGCTCCTTTTAGGGGAAGAGGAGGGCTTAGTTCTGCAAAGCTAATGTATAAGCTGCTGGAAGCTTGTGGTAGATGGGGGCAATAGCTTAGAATTTAGGCATATTCTGGTTACAGGTGACTGCTGAGAAGTTTGAATCTTCTTGGATAAACTCAAAGTTATACAGTACTGTGTATCTCATTGTACAACACAGATATCTACAAGCCTCCTGCTTTTAGAAAGATCTGTATATGGCAATTAAAATTTATCAATGAGTTGTTTGATCATCAAACTCTTTCTCTGTTTTGGGTTAGCAGAGAGCGACTTTGTTCCGTTTGACATATATAGGACTAATATACACCAAAGAACACAAGCATCTGTGTGGATTTCCTTTTGTGAAATTTATAACGAATATGTGTATGACCTATTAAATGTATTATCTACATCAAAAACTCAGAAGCGCAGAGTCTTAAGAATTTGTGAGGATCAAGGAGGAAATTCTTATATTAAAGGTAATAATACGGTTTTATGACCTTGACAGTTTCACAGATTTTCTTTGATCAGAAGCGTATGTAAAAGGTCTTTTTTTCACAGATTTAAAGTGGATTAACATTCAGAGCACTGAGGAAGCCTGCAAAATACTAAAAATAGGAAACAAGAACCGAAGCTTTGCTTGTACTAGAATGAATGAGCAATCAAGTAGAAGGTTTGTTCCCCTAATTATAAGCATATTCTGTCTCTACTTTTCAGGGTGAGAGGAGGGGAAGGGAAGAGAAGACTTTAGAATATGTTTGAAATGAGCCACTCTCCAATAACAGCTTAAGACTTTCCTTGATTATTCTGTTTTTATTATAAAATTCTTTCTGGAAGAAAGCTAGGAGAGGCCTGATGACTTTTAATAGTAGCTGGACTTGGGTTGCTATTCATGGCTTTGGGCAACCGAAAAGATCAAATCGCATTCGGTTTTGAGTGCCAACAGGACACTTGGCAAATGCTAATGGTGCTGCGCAGGAATGGCTGTGTGAGGATGTTGAAGGAAAAGCTGGCTAATTCTTCATCACTGGCAATATAATTCTTGGAAACTTGTAGTCTGTCAGTAGGGGATGTAGCAAGGAGCAAGTCATGCAGTACCTTTCGGTGCTGCTAGATTACCCATATGCTTTTCGATTGCTGTGTTCTAGCTGAGCTTACTTGGTATTTTAAGAATTAAGCCTCCAGCTCTGGACAACAGATCAGGGAGAATCTGGTTTGATGGAATGGGAGGAAATAAATAGAGAAGGTGGTATACTTTCTGTTGAAAATGCCTTCTTGCTGGATTTGAATGCCCTCGTATTAATTTGTCCTTTCAGTGTGGAAGGGCCATGTTGTATATTTAGCTATTATAATCATAGTGTTACTAAGACCGCATTTTCTCTAAAAAGCAAGAGTTACGCTGTTCTATGTTAGCTAAAGACAGCTGCTATTGAATTTCACACTATGATTTCACCTGAATTTCACTCAGGCCTAAAGCAGTGTAGAAAAGAACTGTGTTTTTGTGGCAGTTTTGTGCATAGAATGTCCTCTTTTTGCTCCAGAGAATATACTGACTTCCACTTAGCTTGTTTCTAAATTGTGTTTTTGTTTTGTTTTTTCTTTTTAGAAACTTCATTGTTAACTTATGCTAGAGAAGTTTGTCTTCTGTGCTTCCTGATTTACTGGATAAACTGGGGACAGGGCACTCCTGGTTCTGGGATTTTTCTCTTTTGGTTTCAGACAGCATGTGTCCACTGCCTTTGTAGCTTGATGCCTAAAACGCAGTAACAAGATTTTTCAAGTGTTACAAATCCAACCTTTCTGGAAAACGGAGTAATTTCAAAACTGAACTAATAACTGTGTATGTTGAAGTAGGCAATATTACTGGACTGTCAAACCTTAACTTGTTCTCCTCCCCCATCACCTATTTATTTCTAAGAAGTTAATTCCTCTACTGAGTTTTGATACTGTCTAAAGTTTGTACACTGTGAGTACCTGAGTACTCATCTTCTGACCAGTAGACTTAAGTGAACTGGCTTGTTCATTCTCGAAGACACCTTGTAGGCTTCATGTGATATTGTTCCCTCTCATGTATTGAAAGAAATGGAAAGTCCACTAAATGCAACTTTTATTGCTGCTTTTTGCTGCTGAATTGCATTGTGAAGGTAACAAGTGTAAATTAGTGAATGAATTCTTGTTCTGTCTTCAGCACTGTACTTTCTGTAGCATACAAACTTTACTTTGCTTCAGTGACGCTTAATTTTCATAATTGTGGTTATTAAAAAGGACTTCTTTCCATTCCAGTCACAGTATATTTTCAATCAGGCTACTAAGGCTAACTGATGAGCATCAGCCGTGTGTTCTTGGAGTTTCAGAGTAAGTGAATGCTTCAGCTTATTGCCACAATGTAAATATTTCAGAGAAGTTGGTAAGGTGTAAGCATGCTAAGCTTTCTTTTAATAAAAAAGTCCTCTGAGAGCTGAGAAGGAAATAGGAACTTCATTGGCTGCATAAAACTGAGTGGAAACCTGATAGGGACAGGCATAGAAGTGTTTCCTTGCCTCTTTTATTCTGTTTAGGGTTTGGCTGAAGGAACCTGTTAAAACTCTGGCAGATATATGTAAATTGAGGGAAATATATGTGTATTGCCTTACATAAAGGGGAGGTGGGGACAGAGTTACTATGTGATACCACACTATATATTCCAGTAAGCAGAATTCAAATGCCTTGCTGATAGAAGCCAGTCTCTAAAGTTGGAGTGCAGCAGTTAGTGCTGAAGACCCAAGGTGCAAGCTATGCCAGTGTATCTTTCTGCTTTGGGACCAGACTAGAGTTTGTCTTGAATGCTTGTGGTACCATGTTTGATGTGCTCCTGGAACACAAATTCAAGTCTATCATCCCAAAAGAATGCAGGTGACATGCTCTGGGACTGCTCCACGGTACAATCTACAGTAAGAGGGGATCATCAGGTGGTTTACTTAAAAACTGTTCTCCTGATCTAAAAAGGCTAATGTGGGTGCACCCAGTGAGAGCAGTATGAAGTCCTTACACCTCTGTTCTTTTGTGATTTAGAGGAAGTGGCCTAACCTTCTTGGCTTCAAGCCATTTGCACAGCGTTTTGTTTTGGTTTTTTTTCCTGATTAATTGTTTGTTTAGCTTGATATGGAAAAATGCGGACAGTCCTGTAACAGTGGTTTAGTTCAGTCCTAGCTCTTACTGATTTGTCTCGTCTCTTCTAAGCAGAGATGGTAATAAATATACCTCACTGAGATAACACCTTTTAATATCAGATGTTACAGTGATAAATACTCTAAAGAAAGATAACTTGAGGAAATGACTGCATCTGTATTCCTTGCTGTTCCCCGTCTTTGGTGTATTCCCCTAGCAAATCTTGCAGCAGCTGTTAGATGAATGACAAAGTTTGTATGTTGCTTAAGGAAGAAAAAAGCTCTTTGTATTGTACTGAAAAGGATAAAGATCATAAGATCACAGCTTTTCACACAGTTGAAATATGTGCCTTATTAATATGTATAGTATTAATATGTACTTTTTCAGCTGTGTGAAAGGCTATGATCTTACGAAGGTGTTATTTTATGTAAATAAATGTATGTATAAGTGAGTAATGGTTGGGTTACATAAATTATCTAACTTCCAGAGCTTCCTGTATTTCAAGGGCTTTCTTAATGTAAAGTAAAAGTGATGAAATTCCTTGATTATCCAGGATAGTTGTCTCTGATTGTAACCTATTCTACTATGAGGGACAATTCAGTGCCCTGAGTTTCGTAGCACATAATTGCTATAGCCGAACAAAGAGCTCTGAGGTGATCTGTGAAGGACTTCTGGCCTTTTGTTTGCAATAGTGAACAAATGGTTCTGCATCCAAAAGAGGCAGACTGCAGTGTATTGAAGCATGTGACTGTCCTGCAATCCTCTCAGTGCTGGAACTGGTGAAGGTGACAGTCAAAGTGCTTCTGTAATATAGCCCCACTATGCTAAACTGTTTCAGAAATTCTTCTTATTTTGTCTGGAAGTACTTACTTTAGGATTGCAACAAAACTTGGGTTCCTAAAGTGAATGATTTATGTAAGAATGCCTACAAAGCTTTAAATGGATGCTACAAGCAGTCATTTCAGAATGTGTCGAATAGACTGTCTTAGGAGCAGCAATCTTGTTCAAGTATCTTTATATACAATGGGAAAATAGATAGGTTAGTGCTGTTATCCTAAATACCTTGTGTAGTGCCTTCTGGACAAAACATCAACATTAGAGTACAACTTAAGCTGTGATCTAGGTAGGCTGAAATGAGTCGCTCATTTATACTTCAGACATAAAGAAGTAGACATGCAGTTCTATTTTCATACTGTTTAGAAGCAAGTTTATATGTGTGTTCTGGACAATTCTTTCATGCAGGTTGTCTTTCTGTGACTTGGCTGGATCAGAGAGGTGTAATAAAACACAAGCCTTTGGAGACAGACTAAAAGAAGCAGGAAATATTAATAATTCTCTTCATATCCTTGGAAAATGCATTGCAGCACTGAAGCAAAATCAAAATCCAAAGTAAGTGACAAGCTGTAAACAACATGCTGAGTTTTGGGTTGAAAACCTAGGCATCTCTGTTTCTGCAAGGGATTTGCATGGTCAGAGGAAAATGGAAATCTACAAAATCTTGTAAGTCCTCTTTATTACAGATGTCACTGGAATACCTGAAACGAACATTCTTTCTCTAAAGCTGATATTTGTGGAGAATAAAAAAAGGCAATTAGCAGCAAACTACCAAGTTTTTTTTTAGTGTGTGTATGAGCAATACATTCTGTGTACAGAGCTCCTCTTTTGTCCTCTTCCCTTCCACCTCCAAATTGTATAGGTAGATTCATCAAACAGCTGACAGATGTCCTGTACTTAGCCTTTGGCATGTTCCCATATCTGCTTTGTAACACTAGGGAACTGTGGTGCAGGCACTATACTACTTTTATTTTTACACATTTCAATTTGTTGGAGAGCTTATGAGATCCAGGAATGACCTTGCTCTTTGATGGGAAATAGCTTAGGCTTAAATATGGGCATCCTACTGCATATGCTTCCTGAAAGAGAGAAGCAGAATTATGCTAAGTTACAGTCTCACACAATTTTTTTTTTTTTAATTTTGCAATTTTATTATTCTCTTCTCCATGAGGATGAAGCCAAGCTATATTCCATTCAGAGAGAGCAAATTGACTCGTCTGTTTCAGCCATTCTTTTGTGGAAAAGGCAAAGCTTGTATGATTGTAAACATTAATCAGCATGCTTCCACTTATGATGAAACACTACATGTCATGAAATTTTCAGCTGTAGCCAAGCAGGTAAGAGTGCATCTCCTTTCTCTGTATTCTTTGTTACTATTGGTTTGTGACATGACCAGGTTTTACAGACCTGAGAGTGATTAGGACTTTTGATGCATCATATTAATTCTTCTGTATGTGGCTTCCTCTAAAAGGCTTCCAGTAGCCTTGCCTATCCTCAAACCTCAAATGTGGTAAGAAATTAAGATAGCTGCAGCTGTCTGTGGCTTGTTCAGTTCTACACCACAGACATTCTGTGCAAAAAAAAAAAAAAAGTCAGGGCACTTTCAGATATGACTGCTTATAACATATCTGAGCAAATGCAAGATTTCGATTCAAGCTTCTAATTAACTGTTTAACCTGTGTGCAGTTAAGCATCTGTTGCACAAGATAATTGTTTAAAACTTCTTGGACAGCTAGCAGTGGTAGTAAAAGAAGTAGCCTCTTACTGTAGTCTGAAAGAGATTTCTTGTGCCTGTGCTGCTCCTATTTGGCAAAGTGCAAATAATTAATAACAAACAAAAAGGGAAGACTTTTTTTTTTTTTTGTAAGTTAATGCTTGAAAGTAGTGTGCTCCTCTCCTTCGAAGGCAAAAGCCTCTCTGCTAAATCTACATGCTTTCATGTTTTCTGCTAACTTTGCATGTCAGCCTCCCACTAAATTCAGGACTTGAGGTTGATGTTTGGTCTTAAGTTCATTCAGCTTCCCTGGAAGCTGCTTCTTGCAGGGAGTGGGGTGATGGGCTGTACTGTGTTTCACGGCAGAAAGGAAGTCCATTTCTAGTCTGGAACCATGGATTAGTTCTGACACATGCCAAATCTGTAATGGCATGTCTAATATGATCTCAGAAAGATTTTTCTAATTCTGTTCAGCTCGAACTTTCATCATAAGAGCATGCACTGAGGAGACAAGTTTCTCTGATATGTTGTCCTGTGACATACGTAACTTAAAATCTTTATGTAACTAGCATGAATTGCTGAATTCTGGTCACAGTGTTTCAGGAATGTTTTAAGGTTTTGCTGCTTTCATTAACTTACTAGGAAACTACACCAAAACCTTGTATTTTAGAGGGAGAGAAAACACCTTTCTTGACAAGCATGCTAAGTTTGTTAGTGGATAATCTTTCCCATTTTCACTTTATTAGAATACTGAAGTCTTCATTTGTATTCATAGATGTTTTTTGTCTGCTAAAAGACATGTAAAACTTTGCTAATGTTCTTGTAAGCATTAACTATACTGTAAATACAACAATGCGTTCATGCCACTTTTTCCTAGTATTCTGATACCTGCAATATTGAGAGCATTGATAAATCAGTGCGTTCAACTCTGAATTTTCCAGGTAATCCAGACAATCCTACCAAAAAGTTTTGGTTATTTTCCACCCAAGCTAGTTGGAGGCGATGGCAAACCTACCATGCACTTTGATGCTAGCACATCTGTAGATGACTTTCCTGACAGTACTGAAACCTCTACGGAAGAGGAAGTGGACATCACCATTTTGAGTCATGAGGTAGATACGCATCTACTCAAAACTGTACCCAAGAGAGCCATTGTTATTAGTTCTAATATTAGAATTGTTTACCATAAGAGATGTGCTGGAAGCTGTATCAAATGAGAACTGTAAGCTTCTGCTCAGTGTCAGGCAGACCTAAACTTAAAGTGGTCTAGTTCTGAGGGAACAAGTGTAGTTGCGGAAGGCTGCCTGTGGCTTTCTAGTTAGGTCAAGTGCTAAATTTGGAATTCAATTGACAGCTTAACAAGAAGAGTAAGAAAGCAATATGTGTGTTTAAAACATTATTTAGTTGTTCCTGCTGTTCCCCAAAGCATACAAACAAGTTAAGGTGCAGCATTTTAAAAACAAAGCTGCAGCATTTTAAAAACAAAGATATGCAATCTAATACCAATAAACCGTAAAAATTGAGTAGTCTTTGTGCTAAACAGTTGTATAAATTAATATTTAAATGCCAAAACATCAGTACAATTTTTGATAGCAGAAATTATCAAGATGGAGAAAGGTTGTCTTTGCAGTAGAAATTCATGTTTGAAAATATTTAACCCTTGGTGCAGCCCCCTGAAAATACAGTCTTGTAGAAATGCCCTCTGTGGATGGCTGTTTGCATAATATTTCATTTGACATGCATACCAATGTGTGTTTCTATCTTGTTTTCTGAACTGAAATATGTTAAATTTAGGATCTCTTGAAAACTGCAGAGAACCTAAAGGAGAAGCTACTCGCAGAAAGGCAAAGTAAACTCCTTCTGGAGGTGAAGATACGTAGAGAGATGGCAGAAGCAATGTTCCGACAGCTGTTGGAAACAGAAGAAGCCTGGAGGCAAGTCATATTGCAGTCCTCTTCAAGACTGAAAGGATTCCACATATATAAATGCATACATATATATATGTATAAGGAAGACGTGTATACTCATGTAATTTAGAGAAGTTAGGGTTGGACAGTTTCAAAGCTTCTAATGAAAAGGGAAGGAGAAACATTGAAATAAACTTGTACAGATCAGCCTCTTCCTGTGTAGAATAAAAAAGTAACTCTGCTTTCAGTTGAACTTTTCTCTATTTAATTTGTAATTACTGGAGATTGTCCTCATTCCTTATTACTATTTAGCAGATGTGGAAGACTGTCACAGGTACCCCACTGAGGCTTGTGATTTTTCCAAAACTTGCACTTGCTGATGTTAGTATGCATGCACATGCTTAAGGTAGTTTATTTTTGAGCTCTACTGGATTCTTGCTGCTGCATGACTTATGAACCTTTGTCAGTTTACTGTCTTATAAATTACTGTGTCTGCCTGCACTGATGTTGTTAACGGGGATTTTTTTCAAGTTGAAGCTGAACTCACTTCCTCTTAATTCTTCTCTTCTTGAAATCAGTTTCCTGCTGTTTGAGTTCCTAACAGAGCCTAACTCCAAGTTAAGTTGCCAGCTGAACACCCTATGGTTTAACACCTGCACTAATTTTAAAATTGTTTGGGTACCTGTGACCAAACACAAGAAACAGCAGTGATGCTTTTTCTCTTTTGAGGTGACCTGTGTCACTGCTGGGGCTTTTTTTTTTTTTTTAAATTGTGGCAACATATTAATGTGTACTGTGTTAAAATAAGGCAAATTTGGCATATATCTTTAATGGAAAAAAAACCCAGCAATGTGAAAGACACCCCTTGGAAATATGCTTCAAATATCAAGTCTAATTTGGTGTAGTAATATTTATTACTACATGCTGGGGGATTTTTTTTTAATAAAACTTTAGTTTGACAGATCTTAAGTATGTGTTCTTCCGCAGCACTTTTCTACTATGCCAAGTAGAAGTTATGCCTTGGTACAAGTCTGTAGGATCATTGAGAATAAAAAGGAGAAAAGGGAGAAAAGTAATTCTTCTTATGATTAGATGAATAACTTTGATATTGCCAGTTGAACACATGGAGTCAAATTGTAATAGCTGGAATGCTAATATATTAAATAACACTAACATGTTCTCCTCAGCAACCGCTTGGAAGATATGAAAGACAGTTATGAAGAAAAACTGGAGAGCAAATTTGAAATGTATAAAGAGGCCATCAAGAAACACGCATATATGTGTGCAATGGAACAAATTGAAGACCATTATGTTCCTGTAGAAGAATTTCTAGCTGAACAACAGAAAGTTGAGGTATAACTTGACTGCTGTTGAAATGTGTGTGCTAGTCTTTTAACTGTAAATGTTGCTTTTCCTGAACAGAATCATTCAGGAATTCTAAATGTAACACTGAACAGCCAAAATAACTAGGAGTTCAGCTGAGCTTTTCTGGTTTCCAATGCTAACCATAAGGATAGAGATGTTTTCTGTCTAACGCTCCCTGTAGTGTATACCTGAACTTTCTGATCTTTGAGGGCGCAGTTCGATTAAATCCAAGTCATCTTTCTCTCTGTAGTGTAATGATTGGAACACCCAGAGGAATTGTGTAGACAGCAGTCTGGCTTTGTGGAGATCCTTGGGATTGTAGGGTTTAGAGTAAAAAATTTAGTCTGAAAGGGCTGGTGGGGAATTCAGTACAGGGTAGCTATTTTAATTAGAATGGATCTCTGCTCTGAAGGTCTAGAGGAAAGATTGTGGGATAAGAAACTGCGATGAGAAATCAAACTTTATGCAGGAGAGAACTTCATTTCCTGAATGTACTTATACCTAGAACTGCTCAGAGTTGGCATCAGTAAGTTGCTATTCCTTTTGCAACTGAGCCGCGTTAGCCACGTGCGACTCTATCAGTCTTTACTTCTAGCCTCTGCATAGATAGCTAAGTGTATGCAGGCAACAGATGAGACCTGTAGGTCTGTCTTTTCAGAAGGTCTGTAGCGGAAGAATAGAATAACTGTGGTGTACACCAGAGGTGCTTTCTCACTACACTCTTCTGTCCAGGAACTGATAAGATGTAGCACTCCACTGGTAGGCAGGTTCCTTTCAAGACATGAGGGAAGTGGGGTTTCTATTGTAAATTGTGATATGTAAACATTTTTGCTTTTACAGCTTTCCATTCAGGTGCTGGCAAGCAACACTGTATTGTGTAACAGCCTCTGTTTTTCCAGCTTCTTCACACTTGTCTTTTTTCCCCACTTAGTCTCTGGTTTTATGTTCACTTAAGCCCTAGCTGTATACCATGTTGGGGTGGAGGAAGAGAGTTTTAATGGTGCTCTCTGTATTTATAGCTGCCTCTTACACTGGCTGTAAGGCTGTATAAGGGAAAAATCAAAGAACAAGAAGGTCTTGGTAGCAAGTCAGATAAAAAACTGATGAAATACTTAAGGTGTAAAAGTCTTAGTTGACAATGGAGAGCCGAACATGAAATCGAAGCAGGCAGCTTCAGAGAAGCAGAATTAGATGAGTAACTTTTCTTGATGGGGACACTTTTTTGATTTCTTACTCTGAAATACCACTTTAGCAATCTGACAGGTACTGAAAAAGAGATTGAGATTAAAATTTAGGTCTATGAAATATATTCTTCTCTATCTAGCAAGCTAACTGGCAACAGCATTTAACAGATGCACTAAAGTTTCCTTTCTGACCTGTGGTTACTTTTAGTACAGTTTGGAAGTCTTCAGACTGGAAAAGTTGACGCCTGTGTAAAGGAACTTCTTCCTAGAAGGTCTCGTGATCTAAGTGTTACTCCCTACTGTGATTTTTTTCAACCATAACCATCACAACTTCCACCTGAAGTGATTTTAAAACTGCATATACACGTGTAGTACAATTGAAGAATGTGCAATAGTGCATCAGGTTAAGCAGAAATTTAGACAAACTCTAGCATGTGCCGTTCTCTTTTCAGGACAGAGAGAGTAAAATACTGCAATTGGAAAGGCAACTTGATGAACAGTCAGGGAGGCTGTTGGCTCTGGGAAGTTTGAATTCAGATATACTGACTACTGAAAATAACATGGAACTAGGTAGGAATCTAATCTGGATATTCAAAGTTCAATTTACTTTTGGTATTGTGTATAAACAAGCAAACCTTTCTTTTGCCTACAGATCTTATGAACAGGACGATGAAGAGAGCCAATGAAGGACTGCAGAAACAATGCAAAGAGAAAGAAGAGGTAGCTCTTGCTTAGTATTTAACACATCTGGGGATAACGATCCTAAACTCTGGCATGGTTCAATGCTTAAAGGTCTGCACTGTAGACAAAAGCATGAAGAATCCTGCAAATTGACATCATGTTTGCAAAAACCCCTTGCCCAATTGTGGATGACTTGCCAGAGATTAGCTGTGTTCTGGCATTACTGTAGTTTGTAAAGGCATCTACTACCACAACAAGTCACACGGTGAACATGATGTGAGTTGGAAGTGGGGAAGTATATAGCCTTGTATTGGAATTTGTTGTAAATGTTGCTGCCACAGCCTCAGTGCTTTCCTTCCTGAAATGCTGCCTGTTCGTGCACAGGGGAACAGTTACAGAATCTGGTAATGGTTTAGATATAGAGCCAAAATAGTACCTTAAACCACTCTTTTCTGTAAGTACTGAACTCCACTATCCCCTTAAACTTAAGTAAAGGGTAATGTCTGTTCTTCAAACAAACAAGATCCCTGTGTTCTGAATAGCATATAGAGGTGGAAATTATGAGCTTCAGGCTGTGTTATGGAAAACAAATATTAATTATTTCTAGGCATGCATTTTGGTCTATACATTGAATGAATTTCTTATAAGGCTACAGTTAGTTTCTCATGTTTAAAGAGAATGGGGAGGAAGGAAGAGACAAGCCTTGCTCCTTTCACTAGTAACAAATAGGAGTAGGGGTTGGAGAAATATTTCCAGCTGGTTTTAATAAACCATGTAAATGGAAAGTGAACTTAAATCCTTTTCTGTTAAAAAAGTGTACTCCAAGAATAACTTTTTCCTTACCAAGTTTAATGTCTCATGTTATGGCCCCTGGCATTTGTTTTCCACTCCTGTTCTTGAGAGCTCTACATAATTTTCCATTTCCTATGTCAATTTTGAGGCTAGAAAGAAAGTTTGGCTTTTATGCTTGATATGAGGATACAGTATTGATTTTTTTTTTTTGTGTGTGTGTGTGTGTGGCTAGAAAGTGTTAGAATGATGGGACCACTGCCTGGCAATAACTGAAGTGAAGCAGTTTGAAGCAGTTGGTTCCATCAGTGCCTTTCTGCTTTGTCTCACATACCTGTGTATCTGTGATGAGTAATTCACTGGGTTTTGTTTGGTTGTGTGTTTTTTTGTTTTTTTTTTTTTCCTTCCCTCCCTTCCAGTCATTAAACATGGGCAGAAAGTTTTTTTGCCAATCTTAGGTATTTTCCCTCCAACCTTGTAGAAGTAAATTAATGATACAACATTAATTTTGCTGGTTCGGGGTTTCCTTTCCCTCTCAGGACTTGATCCATTGATATTACTGTCAGAAAGGTGAGGTCTTCTCTTGTAACTGTGCTCCAATTCATTATATGAATAGTGTTAATGAGACGAGAGCATTCTTTTAACTACCCTTACTGAAAAGGAGCAGACAGTTCCAAAAGTAGCTTAGTCTGTGCTGCAGTTCTTTTGATCGACTGGTCTGTGTAAATCTAATAGCTTCAGCGCAATAGCCCTTGAATGCTCCAGCTGTATTTTATCACCGGGAATGATGGGTTGGGACACAAGAGGTTGAGAGAAGCAGGCTTTGTCTTCACTACTTTGATCTTGGGAGTTTGCACTGTTCAATATTAATCAGAAATGCTTACAGTGTCTGTGTGAGTTCTAGTCATAAACAAAATTCATGTAAAATACGCTGTCTTGAGCTTCAGTGTGTATGGGGTTTATTTTCAGCTTATAAAATCTCTGAAGTTCAAAATGCAGAAATTAAATGAGACCCTGCTAGAAGCTAACGAAGGCTACAGAAAAATGGCAGAAGAGAACAGCCAACTGAAGCATACAATCATGCTCAAGGTTTGTCAATGATTTAAATGTTGACATTGGCAATTAAACTTTAATATGGCTTGTATCTATAGTTGTACTGGATGTTTCTGTGTCTTTGTACATGTAAAAACACCATTCAGTTCTTATTAATTTATTTTGCTGTTAGCATAATGTTTTTACTTCAGTTGGGTTTTTTGGCTTTTTTTTTTTCTGTCCCTAACTTCCTGAATTATGAGCTCAGTGCCCTTGTGTTTCACCCCTTCACTTTATATCTTGTAAGATAAAACTCTTTTTTCAATTTAAATGATAGACGTGGTCAGTAGAGTAACTTTGTGCTGACAACTCTTGCCAATCTAAAGATGCCACAAATTATTGTCATGCAAAAAAAATACTACTCCAGACTCTAGTTATGAAGTGTTTTGCTGAGGGCAAGCAATCAGTGCACAAATATTAGTGCAACAAGATGCAAGGATCTATGACTTTAAAGCTATACTGACGCTCCTGCAGAGGTGGCCATGCTGGATAAGAGAGATGGGCAGGTAAACTACTTAATACTGAAATAGAAGAAAACTTTACTTCAAAAGTAGGGAATTCATAAAGCTGGCAGCATCTGACCTCAGACATCAACTAGCTTCCTAAATAAAAAAAATGGAAATTTTGAACTCTTGACACTTTGCATCTGTGCCTCATTTGTAATCTGCAAATGAAGCAAGGCGGGTATAATGCTGCTTAATGATGTTTTTCTTTGAATGTTAAATTGCCTTATGTGTTCTTTTTAGTCTAAGTCTGAGACTAAAAATTATTTGTCTTGAACTTTGTTTCTTAATTGGTTCAAAGACATAGGAAGGTGACTTTTTATTAACCACAGGGATTAGAAAGCATGTTTAAGACTGTATTCTGCCCACTCAAAGCATTTTTTCAGTCCTGGTTAGCAGACTTATGACTACGGTAAGAGTTTTGATTTGACAAGTTTTGCTTTCAGTAATTACAGCTTAAGACAGGAAAGCTGCCTTTATTTGATTCCTAGAACATCAGCAATTCTTTTGCATAGTGTGGCTCGGTGTTTTAGCATGAGCTTCTTCAGTCAGACTTAGTCTCTAACTAGATCTGGTGGCCCCGTAGTTTGCTGTTCTCTAAATTACATAGAAATGATCCTGAAGAAATGGGTACTGAATAGCCATTTGGCATAATAGTAACAGGGTGTTTACTGGTATAGTAAAATAATCTGAAACGGAAAATTAACTACATGAAAAGGGCTTTGGAGTGTTCACATTCCTTATCCTCGTAGGAACAAGAAATGAATAGTCTTCAGAACTGGGCTAAACGTGTTCTTGAGCTTGAAGAAACAGTGTCTTCCCTGCAAAAAGAACTGGATGAAAAGAAAAAGCATTTTTCTATAGAGGAACCAAAACAACAAAAACCCAGAAAAGGTTTGTTGGCTAATCTGAAGTCCACAGTAGCAGCCACTGCTAGTACACCCCTTGGTAAAGGCTGGGGGAAGTACGAAGATGCTTCATCCTCTTCAAGGAAACAAGTACTGTTTGCTCATAAAGCGAAATAATAATGTTTGTTTAATGAAAGTGTGCAATTATTGGACTTCTTTATCAATCTCAAACTCTTGGTAGCTTTTTCTCAGTCTAGATGCCATCTTCACTGTCATGGTAACTAACAGAAAAATGTTTAATACAGAACTTTTTTAATTGAATCAGGGTTGAATTTAGCACTATGTAAGTATAGACCTAAACTTGTGCTTTTACTGTTGGTGTAGGGGTGTGATTTGATATATATAATTTTTAATTCTTGAGTAACTGCTATCATGGTCTTCTATACTGATAAATGTATGATTCATGCAAAGTGGGATACTCCTCACCTGCTGCTCTTGCTACCTTTTTAAATTAAATATTTCATTTTCATTTTTGATTCCTAGAAATCAGATGGCTTGTAAGATTAACCTAAAGTAGTTGAAATAGCTTGGTTCTTCAGTTAATATTCTGGCTTCGGTCTGGAAAGCGTTGTCTTGGCACCAAACTGAGCAAAACATAAGGCCCCATAAAAGAGGCAACAAAATAAGGTCTTATCTGGCTCCTTGCTATTTTTCAGCTAACTTGGGTATGTAAAGGAACTTGTTTTAGTATCATTTGAATTTCCACTAAGAATATGCATTCAATTTTGAAAAATCTATTTATAATAAAATTTTCCATTGCTAAATTAACCTCTGATTGTTCATTTTATAAAGGTGAGAAAATCAGTGAAATTAAGATAAGGAAAAATCAAACTTAGAGGCCAAATGATCATAGTGATTGACATATGATGATCTTGAGTTGAAAGAATCATAGCTCTGATTATATTACGTACCTTAACCTAGTAACTCAAGGAGAGAAGGCTGGAACACGATAAAATTTGAAATAGCTTTCTTAGAGCCATTTCAGTCAGTGAGGGTGAGAATTTAGTCTCACAATTGTGAAAGTACCATGCCTGTAAGTGCTGGAGGATTGCTTTAGAACAAGGCAGAATCCAAGGCAGAATCAGAATTGGATTGATCAGTCCCTGTAATAATGTTTCTTGTCGTGGAAGGGGACCCAGTTCAGAGCAAGAACCTCACCCTCCCTGTGGAGACACTAGGTGGTGCAGCCTTCCTGTGTGACACCAAACAGTCCTGGTCTGGTGTGAATTTTCTTGCCAGGTCTTTGGAGTTCTGGGTTCGCTGTGCAAATGCAGAGATAAGTAATCACTCTGACATGTCTTTAACCAGGCTTAAGATGTAGCACTTGAGACAGTGCTGTTCTCATGTTTTGAACTCTTTCTGTTAAAGATAGGTTAGCTGGCTGCAGTAGTTCTAAAGGCCTATAATCCCTCCAGGGTAGAATTTCTAAAATATTATTCTACTCCCACACAAACTATTCCAGCTATTAAAAATATTTTGGTGTAGGGATACAATACACTGAGTGTTGATTCCTTGAATAAGAAAGCTGTTACATACGCATTGCTTGAAGAACAGCTATATTCAAACAGATGTTTTAAAAAAAAAAAAAAAGTCATCACAATAGGCTAATGCTGGAAACTTCCTATAATACCATTTCCAATGATCTAGTGCTACATCTTGACAGTCTGGCACTTGTCTGAGAGTGTATGTTACCAAGTTTATGTAACACTAACTATAACCTCTTATTCCCTGAGCGACTGCTGTTTCCATGTTCCCTCCTACTTCCAGAGCTCTTTGGTTGGCTACGAGAAATGGTTTGAAAGACAAAGTTACATTATCTTAAGCATTTTTTTTTTTCCATAAAATAAAATGAAGCCTGTAGTGAAGTACTGATGAATTCTTAACTGTAATGTTTTCCAAAGAGTTGCAATGGACTATGTTCCTATTACATAAAGACTTCTGAGAAGCTGTTTTAAAGGACAGCTGAGGACTAACTTCTCTTTCTGCCCTCTAGACCAAAATGAAACCCTATCAAAGATGCAGAAAGGGCTAGTTTGGTCCTTTTCAGCTTCTCAAAGCTGAATGGATGTAAGGAAAGCAGAATCCACTAATATTTACCATTGCAAAATAATCTTGTTACTGGTGATGAACAGACGTTCCACATGAAGCCACCACTCTCGATAGAATATCAGCCATTTGTTTTATCTCAAATTACTACCATACAACTTGCTTCAGATTAAGTGTTTATTAAAATTAAAAATCACCATACAATAGAAACTATTTACATATTTAACTGATAGTCTGCTGAAACTGCACAGTTTGACTGAAGGAAGCCAATCGAAAAGAAAAGCAATTAATATTTATGCTGCTGAACTTCAACTGCAGGCACACTGAAGCTTTATCAAAAAGGTTTTAAGCTTCTGCAAAGTACCATCTGCCTAAATAATTGGGCTGCGGGGTGGCAAAGATGTACTTGATTTCAGTTGTAAGAACCAGGGTCACTTTGGGGGAAAAAAAAAAAGTAATCTATGCTGTAGTTACATTGCAATTGCACTAGCTCAGCTGTTTTGGTAAGTAATTTGATAGAACAATTCAATATGTAGATCTTAACAAAATGTATTCACTTTTATGAATTATGTTTCTATACTGAGCAACAAACCTATAGTGTCACTGCAATGTAACTTGATATCCTATTGCATATTTCCACAAATTGTTTTTGATAGTGCTAGAGCTAGTTTTAGCTTTAAAACAGATTTGAGGTTAGTCAGTTAAAGCAGCAAAAATATAAGGAATATTTTTGAATAATCAGAGGACTAAAAATTAATTTTAAAATATTTTCACTGGTAACAGTCTCGGGGACTGCAATGAAAGTATTAACTTCCTTCAAAATCCTGTGCTTTCCCGTGGACTTCAGATGATGACTTTGGCCTTGTGGGAAACTGAAGGTTGAATACAGAGCTAGGTGTGCTGCTGCTTCTGCCATCATGTGTGTGTTCATATTGCGCCTCTGCATCTGTGATGGCTGTGCGATGCTTTGAAAATGATTCTAAATTTAATATGAGTAATACAGCAGTAGAACAGAATCATCTTCCGTGTAAAGAATTACATACGTAACCCTTCCTTAAAGGAAACCATGACACTGTTTAGAAAATCTTACAAGAGGTGACAGTATTCCATCTACTAATGTGAAATAGCAAGGATATAAAAATAATTTTCACAATATGCTGTTATTTCAAAAAAGACGATTTAAGAGCACCACCATGTCTTAAATCTTTAAGTTCTCCTTCATGACTTTTTCTTTTGAAAACTGCTGTTCGTGCATCTTCTCGCCCCTTTTATAAGGGTCTCCTTGTAATGTATTCTGTGACTTAGATCCTAAGAAGGCTGTGTCAAACTTTGCCATCTCTTCCCTTCCTCCTCCTGCCCCACCCCAAAAAGCCTGTTTGGTTTGCGATGTTTCTGCGGATGCAAAACAGAGCATTTAAGGAGAACTTCAATCTTTAGGGGAACTGTTTTAACCAAATAAAAACATTGTTATTTCTCTGCAGAATTACTCTTTCCTTCAGCATTTCAGTTTCCACGCTCAGTTAAGACATCCAAACTCATGAAGTAATTAGTTTGAGCAGTCTGTCCAAATAATAGTCTGTGCTGATGATCAACATCAATAGAAAAAAGCGTTCTTTGTTCTATGGCTGTTGTTGATACTGCCCTTCTGTTGCTGTGTAGAAGTCATCAAGCACGCTCTGTAGATAATCGAATGTTGGCCTCTCTTCTGCTTTGTCTTTCCAGCATGTTTTCATGATATCATAAAGCTCGGCTGGACAAGTTTCCATGCGTGGCATTCGGTACCCGCGCTGAAGAGCAACCATCACATCTGAATTGCTCATGCCTTCAATAGAAAAGAAAGTTTTCATCAAATGATTTCAATTCCTAAATAAATGATTCTTTCTTTTTTATTTACTTCATTCTAAAGATCTTCACCTGATAATACAAGGTTATTACTGCTAATATGAGTTCAATAAACAAGGCTAAAGTGTGCACTGGCACTGAAGGACTTGCTTTGAAAGTCCTGGGGGAAGACTTCTGTTTCCCCAGTTGAGTGTAGTGCCAAGCCTAACAAGACTGCGGGAGAGACCATAATTCTTGTGTCCACAACCAGCTCTGTTCTGTTCCTCTGACCAGTCCTGCCACCATTTGTTCTGCCTCCAGCTGGGGTGAGATTCACAGCAAAAGCCCACCCTGGCATCAGCCTTTGTCTCCAGCTGCAGAGCTTCTAACCTGCTCACTGTAGACCCCATCCGTACTGGGACGGGGAGCAGCCTACCTGTTTAACCGTGCTCCAAGTCACGCTGCCCAATGTAGTAACACACTTTCAGATTTTCTTCTGCATCGGCTTTTGTGTAAGTGCTGCCGGTTGCAAGATACTGGACATGGTCATGTGTGATATCATTACTTGTAACAGGCAATTTCCCCTCCCTTCTTCCTCATCCTATTCCCATTGCGCAAAACCAGCTTGCCAGCTGTGCTGAGCGTTGCTTTGCTTCCACATTACATTTTTCTTTCAGAGGATAAGAACTCCAACTACCACCAGTGCATCCTGAGCCTCACATGCCAACTAATGTCATGTGAGAGAGGCCTGCCCTGGACTCCATCCTCCACCTCTCTTTTTTTTCCCCCACCACCGACCTTGTTTTTTAAATCCTTGAGAGACTGGTTCACAGATCGATTTCGACACCTAATCTCAGAAAGATGGCTACGGCAGGGCCAACAAAAAGGCTCACCACTTCCTATCGGAAACCTGCCTTTCAGCTTGTCCCTTCCTCTGCAAATCTTATGCAACTCAGAGGAGTAATTGTGCCAGGACTACCTTCTCCAGGAGACAGAGGCTAAGCTTTCTGTACTCCAGTGAATACTGTTTCTTCTGATGTCTGGGCATGCAGGAAGCACTAGTCCTTCAGCCTAGATATTTGCTACCACTAGTGAAAAGCCTTTCCCTCTATCAAGAAGGGTATTCCAGACCCCACAGCCGCTGACCGCTACTCAGGCTAGATATTCCCCATGGTGCAGTTTTGCCTAAGACTGCAGTTTCTCATGGTTTTTATCAGGCAACTCGGCCTCCAGTCAGGTGCCTGTGTGATACTGACTGCTCCTGCTTACACCAGTTCCCCAGGGGTGCGGGGAGAGCAGCGACACTGCTGAGAGGAGACAGGACAGGTCCTGCTCTGAGCAAGGTCAGCAGCGGAGATGCAGATATGGTGTTTCCCCAAGCACCTGGTGACTATACAGCCCCGTTGCCACAGACGGTGTGGACCTTTGTACGTGTTATCTAACTACTAAAGCTATGATTTAAGGCACTTGGCAGGTAAGGACACATTTGAATTACAAACAAATGACAACTTTATCTGGTATAACTACTTTGATTTTTCAAGACGACTAAAGTTCATATAGTTGATTTCAGTTCAAGCCTTTTGGCTTTAACCTAGTCTAGAAACATCATCAGCCATGAAATCTGGGTCTGGCTTAGAGCGCTTACTTTGAGTACATCTTTTGTATTTTCAGTTCCGCTTTGGAAGAAGGAGTGAAGTTTTCCTGAGCTAATACTACATACGTGTGTAGAACAATATTTTGAAGGTAGCAGTGGAATGGCATGTTGTCACAGAATAAGGAATTGGTGCTATATAAAGACAAAATAAACAAAGGAAGAAAGCCAATACAGCCTTTTATAGAGAACAGCAATCTCACTGCTTGAGCTTACAGAAATGGATTATATATAATGTAAGAAGTAAAACAGTTATCCATATAATGCAAAGTCTTAGTTAACTGTGTGCTGCAACATGAGGACTGCTGCTACTGGACTTTTGTGCAGAACGGGGCTGATTCTGTGGGTTTAAATACTTATAGGATTGTGCTTGGAACTAGTGTCTGCAGGACTGATTGTTACATCCTGAATGTCAAGGGCAAAGCCTGTGTTTCAGCTAACCTGCAGGAAAACTATCTGTTAAATAAAAATTTCAGTTCACAAGACAAAAATGAAAAGACTTTTCTCAGTCTTTCATACTAAATACGTCATGAACATAGCTGCATATGTTTGGGGATTTATTTAAAACAAAAAGGCTTACCTGCCTACCCCGCAGTTCAAGCAGTATTCTCAAAATAGCTACTTGTTTAACTTTTTTAAATTATTTTTATTTTTATTTTTTTGTGGCTAGAGAATTACCTGTCACATCAACACTAAATCCTAATCAGTAAAAGAAATATATCCCACATGCATACTTGTTACACTTACACCCTCTTAAATGCTAGCAAAGGATATTAGCTCTAAAGGTTTGGTACATGTCTGTTAATTTACGCTGTGGTACCTGTTAAGCTCCACAGATAAAGATATATTTCCTTATGTTAGAGCCTGGGAAATGATGTGAACACAGTGGTACGGAGGAAGAATGCCCCTGTACAGAAAATGGCATATCTTGTGAAGAGCAGCAGACAAAATTGGAATGCAAGTATGTATGTTGCCAGTATTTGACATACTATATAATCAGTGGAAATTAGTTTTAATAACCAATTCAACGTATTTGCCCAGAGATTTGGATACTTGTGTCACATTTCTGAGGTAGTTCCTTAAACTATAGTCCCGCTAATTGCTTTGAGTTTCTCAGGAAGAGAAACAGCTGTTGGAATTTAAGAACAAAGATCACAAAAGCCCCAAGTTTCTTGGCTGGAAATGCTTCCTACCAAGTTGCTTGCCTAGATTTTCGTTATGGGTATTAACTGCTTGCCAGTTTCAACTCAAACCGTTTCATATGCAGCTTTATGCTGAATGCTGTCTAGTTGTTGGTTAATAATTGAAAAGAATATTTTGAAGCATTGCCATTAGAATTGAAAAATCAGTTTACTGTTTCTCTCCAGTGGCTGCTGGTTACAACCTAGCACTCTTGCCATGCTGGGTAATTTGCCCCATCCCATTACATCTCTTCATATAAAGTATATTGGTCACCGATTTATTTTGCTGTCCTCCTGCTTCTTCAATATAAACTTTCAGTCTAACAGGCTATTTGAATTTATACTTCTATTTAAAATAGAAGACATATATCCCTCTTTCAATTTAATGCAAGCAATGCCTACAAACTATTAAAATCTTCCAGTATGCAGTCAAGAGGCTTCTGCTTCTAATTGCTGGTTGACAAATGAATCCATAGTGTATGACGTATTTGTAGTGCTAATTAAAATGCTCTCATATTTAAAAAAAAATATAGCCCAGACTTCCACTAGAAGAGATGTTTTCCCACAGCAGTACGGTGTACAGATTGATTTTGCTTTTAAAATAAATATATGATATGTTTTACGCACGTGAAGAGAGAGCAGACTTAGCTGCAGAATTAAGTATTTGATTGGCTTTTGTATTTTTGTACTGCTGGTTTCCAGGTGAGCTCATAGGTTTGCTCAGCAAAGGACAATTTTCAAGGCATCCAGAAATAACCTGGTGAGCCCGGCTCAACGTAGGCAACTCTCTGGACACACAGGCATGTGCTAACAGGAAAGAAAAGGCATCTCGACTGTAGGAAGAACCATGCATTACTCGGCTGCGTACAACTCCCATCTGATCTTTCCTGGGAACACGAGCAGTGTCTAGAATAGGTTTGGGAGAACCTGCCAATCAGTCACATATTTTATAGCCCTTACCTAAAAACCAACCCGGAGCATATGTTTAAACACTTAGCTGTGCAAGCAGCCCCGTCACCTCTTGAAGTGTAAGGGGGCAACCCTGGAGCTTAAGTGCTTTCCTGGACTGGAGCCTTAATGAGCAATGAGAATGTCTGGTTTGGCTCTACCTCTTGTATGGAAAGTTGATATGTTCTTCCATAATGTAGTGTAAAGTTGGCTGCCCTCACCCCTTCCCTGCTGCCCGAGTCTCGCAGGAGGAGGTCTGGTCTCCCTGTGCCCAGAGGTGTTGAGCCTACTGTCATTTCAGGACCTGGGACTCGGTCACCCAGGTCTGCCCCTGTGAACATCTCTGTCAGTTCAGGATGCAGAATTTCAGCTGCTCAGGAAGTGGTGGTGCAAATGTTTTCACTGTTTAACTAGCAAGACTTGCTGTACTGGAAGTGCTGGGAAAGCTTTGCTTGCATGAAATATCCTCTCCCTTTACTGCCTGTAAACTGCAGGATCCTAAGGGTTCTTCTCTTAAGTCACTCCATCCATGAGATGTGCAGTACAGGTGAACATGGCTGTAGTTTCCCCATTTGCCCACAAGATAAGAGAATTTAGGTTAATTTTCCTTAACCTCAGTAAGCTTAAATGAATGCAGTCTGCTGCCCTGAGTTAATCAGCCATGCCTGAGATGTGACAATTTTGAGTGCAAAAACATCCTTCATACAAGTTGTTTCCGTGTGCTGGAAACATTATGTATTTTGTTTAACAGAAAGAAAAACAAAACAAAACCCTTTCAGCTACTTCTTGCAGCTGTGATTGAGGTACTCCTCTGTGTTCTTGTACCTGAACCGTATGGAACAATGAAGAGTAAATATTCCTAGCGGTACGTCAACACTGCTTTAGGGTCTGCTTTCATATTTGTTTAGATTAGCTAACACTGACAAATTATTACAGCCTATTTGCTTGTGAAAACACACTTTCGTAGTACTTTCACATATTAGGATATTAAAAAACCCCAGCAGCTTACAGAGCACCACTGGAGACTCTGCTGCTGACCATAAAGCTGTGACCATTCAGCATGTGCTGCCGTTGTAGCACCTTCTGAATACATAAAAATGACTACGTGTTCATGGTGCCTTTAGTCTCTTTGCTAAAATTTACCCCAGAGAGACACAGGGGTAAATACAGAAATACAGTGACTATAAGTTTTTAAAGCAATAACATTACTTGCGAGAAGTTTTCCAAATCACTGCTGTCACTGCTGTCAGATAAAAAAAAATTTCCCTGGGTGTTTTCTTTGCTTTTTAACACCAAAGTATAAATACAGAGTAATGGTAGAAACACACGCCCATACCTGGATAAGGAATCTTTCCATATGTAACGATTTCATACAGGAGAATCCCAAATGACCACACATCAGATTTAATAGTGAAAGATCCATAGTTTATTGCCTCTGGTGCTGTCCATTTAATAGGGAATTTTGCACCTAGAAAAAAAAGTAGTCTCAATCAGTCAAAGGCAAATTTAAACACTCAATATCAAGTCACTAAAAGGACTTAAATGACTTGCTGATGATACCCGTAAATTAGCAAAGTTACCAGCAACTCCTTCTGTCCAAGAGTTATCAGCAGAGATGCGCTGGAAGACGCAGGTTGCCACACTGCATGTCCTGTGTCAGAGGTGCAAATAAGATGCTGAAAGTTACACAGCACCTTTTGACTCCTAGGTATGGTGAATTTTTGCTAAAATTACAGTCACCATTTTCCCTTCTGCCCAGTGGTCGGGCAACACTCTTACAATTCCCATCAGCTGGAACTTTGCAAGACTTCAATTAACTTTTCCTATTTTAAAGAAAGTCAGTCCAGCTTCAACGTACACTTTAATGCATTTCACATTCAGCCACAGATACAAAAGCAGTAGCCAAGTCATATCTTAAAAAGTCATATCTTAAAATACTGTCTTTCATGTCTAATTAACTGATTCCAGAAAATCCCGTATAAAAGCAAACTCCTTCCAGTTAAATAAGAAAAGTTCAAGCAGCTTTTGTTGGGGAATATTACATTAGCTCTTCAGACAACGAAGAGAAATACAAGCAGATTCTCTCTATGCCCTTTTTAGCCTGCTCTATCGTTCTGGCACAAAATACCAGGTAAGCTGGGAAACTTTTCTGAATGGCAGAAAACACATCAAAGAAACTTGGCATAAAGAATTTATAACCTGAAAGGTTCATTTAATCAATATACAATGTCCAGAGCTAGCTAAAAAAAAAACAACCAAAAAACAGATATGGTTTCCGTACCTCTGAAAACTGCTTAAGCAGACCCTTCCCTCTGATCTATTGAATTACTGTTACCCAGTGACTGCTGAATAGCTCATCTTCCTTTCATCTCAGCTGTAGTGCATTGTTCTCTTTCTTCCTCATACCTTAGTTCTTCCCCTCTCATCCTACATTACCACAGTTTCCATCCAGACAGTGTGAAAACACGAGGCAGTGCCTTTAAAATGAGAAGGGGAAAGCCAGCCAAGAAACCTGCTCCAAAAAGTCACCCTAATGCAATCTGTGCACGGAAGCAGAAAGAAAAAACTTTTTCACTACCACGAGTTGACTACGCGCTTCTTGAAAGGATCCTTGGCAACATTAGCAAAACACACACGGCAAAACCCAGACAAATATCTTTAAGAGTATCACTTCCCCTCTTGCCAGTCCTGACCCTGCTGCCATGTTCCCTGCCATCCGTGTGCGGAACAGGGACACGACCCAGCCTGCCACTGTCCCTACACGTAGCAGCGATGCTGCTGAACACGCAAATCAGTGCTGCAGCTCCCAAAGCGGCTTCACAAGATAACCAGTTCTGCTAAAGGTTTTCTTGGTACCAGCAACTACACCTGCCAGGGCTCCTTCCTTTCCCTGGTGCGTATAGCACTTAAGGACATGAAGAGAAAATAAGATTATATTTTCATGGGGTGGAAACTGTGGGCGTGCAATTAATTTGTTCTATTTAGAAAACTTTGTGCGCAGTTAAGTACTCTCAGTTTTCTTTCTTCTTCAAATTCACTTAAAGTAACCTTTTCAAAATCCTGGAGAGCACAGAGAGGTTATTTGTTACCTTATTAATTTCAAAAATTGTTGGCATTAGAACTCTGCCTCTAGGAAGTTTTTACGGCATTTTCTGTCCTTGGTGACCGTATTATTGTTAGATACAGCCTCGCTGCCTCCCAGAGGCTGAAGTTTTAAAGACAAAAATAAAAATACACACCTTCCCTTGCTGTATATTCGTTGTCTTCAATGACTCTCGCTAGTCCAAAATCAGCAATTTTGCACATCAGTAAGTCCGAAACCAGAACATTCGCTGCTCTCAAATCTCGATGGATATAATTTTTTCTTTCTATGTATGCCATCCCTTCGGCAATCTGTAACCAAAGAAACAACCATTGTGATATTTCAACACCACACATGACCACCAGCAGGTCTGACCGCTCTGTTCTTTCGAGGTATCACCAAAGCCGCATCTGTTTATTCATCACCAGTATCTTTGGAGTATTTTTTAGATGGAAGCAAGGAAAGGGTGATTGCCGTGGAATACCTATACGTAGATCCAGTCCTGCAAAGCTATACTTACAGTAGCAGCTTCAAAAGAATTGTTTGGATGAATAACAGCTGGCAGGATTAGATATATTTATTAGAGACATTTCCTGTAACAAAATCTTAATTAAAATGTTCCTAACATTTCTACTAAAATATTTTCCTCCCCAAATTATTAACCAGTTTATTTTCCAAATACTAAGAAAATGCAAGGAATTAATAAGTTAAACAAGACATGGATGTTCTTTTAAGGGTTGATGAAGCAGCAGTGCAGATAGAGTTAAAAAAAAAAACAAAACAACAACTTTCTATTTACCCAGTACAGTCCTGCACAATCAGGAAACAATTACTAAGATACGGCAAACAACTTTATCTTTATTTTCTTCTACAGCAACATGTACCTGTTCATACATGAGGAGTGTCTGGCAACAGCCAGCTCTCAGATACTATCATAAGTAAATTTAATTTGTATTTCAGCAGCCCAAATTAATTTCTAAACCAAACTAAAGATGATTAATGTCCGCAACCTATGCACTGGGGATGATTTTTTCAGTATGTGCCCAGACTAATGCGTTTTTTTCAGGAAAAAAAAGAAACTGAAATAATAGTTTCTAAACTCAGAGCAATAAAACTGATGTCCAAAAGTTTAAGAGGATCTAGAAAGAAAAAAAAAGAAAAATAAACCCAGTTCTTGTAAGCTGTTAGTTTTTATCTCCTTTGTAAGACCCTGGGTCGTTCCCAGGCAAGGCCCACGGTCCGACCTGTGCCACAGGTATCTCTCCAGGATGTCTGTGGGTGGGTGACAGAGGGCTCGCTCTCAGCCACATGATTTCGGGAAGGCACGAGCTCTCAGATTTGCTAGTGAAGCGGCAGGAAAGCGGTAGGGTTCCTTCTCCAGTGTCAGTCCCCAGCACACCCACACACGGGCTCTTTCCTCTCCTCCTCAGGAGAAGACAAGTGCCCACATCCCTTCTCAGCACCAGAGGTGCTCGATTCAGCCGTGCAGTAAAGCAGGCAGGAGTACCTCACCGAATTTTAAGAGAACGTTAACATCACTTCTGCTTATCCATTTTTAAAAAGTCCCCGAGGGGTACTGCGAAGGCACACACTGCCGCCACTTACAACACAAAACCGCACTGTCTTCGTTCCTCTTTTTTGGTTTAGGCAATGGAAAAATAGAGCCTCTTGCCCCCCCACCTCCTTCCACTGCGAACCTCTTCTTACAAACCTATATATTGCTCAGAGCGGAGGGTTACATTGCCCTCGTACCACGTGCGCGCGGGGGGGGGGGGGGGTTCTCAAACCAGAAAGAAACTCTGATGGTGAAGAGAATAAAGAACACCTGCATTTCACATTTTCTAGAAATAAGTAAGAAGTTTTATAATGATGGAAGCAGTTATTAGTGAATGATTGCCACAGAGAGTCTTACTAAGGGCTTACAGACAAAATAGAAGCGTAGTATTTGATTAGAGCCTGCTCTGCCTCTCTCCTCTGCCTCTCTCCTCTCCAGGCAGTTACTTGGCTTTGGGGAGGAATGAGAGATGCGAGGGAAGGTTTTGCTGTAAGATCAGTGCTGAGATTGGACTGGCCAGCTTGACAGGCACAACCAAAATGCAAACAGGTCCACTAACATCACCAAAAATAAATCAACCATCACAAAGGAATCAACTTTCCTCCTACTTCCCTGCACAGATTTAATGTTTGGGCAAACTGCTGGCTGGGGAATGAAGCAGCACTTCACAAAAGAGACATTCGTGATGAGGATATTTAGTTTCCAAGCCCAACCAAGCAAAGCCATTGGAAAGACTATTTTATTTCCTCTTCTTTGTGCCAGACTCACTGAAGTCGTCACCTGATTAGTCACAAACGAGGAATGTGACCTCAAACGATCCATTATGTTTTCAGCAAACACAAACTACATTTCCGTGAAATTCCAGGGCAATGGTTTTGACTGCATTGAATCAGAAATTCAAAGAAGCCACATATGTGCAAGCATTTGGGCATGCAAAAAATTCCCAAGTAGGAAAAGAATAATTGGCAAGGAACTTTGAATGGGAAAAGGAGGGGAAACACAGAAACTGGACAACTGAATTCACACACATGGTCACATTAAACCTTTGCTTGTGGGAAAAGAAAAAAAAAAGAGGATTTTTTTTTATCAAAAGAATGGGTGCTAAAGCCCATGTAATAACTCTTTATGATAATTGTTGGGTTTTCATTGCCAAATGATACGTTAAATGTAGAGAAATTCATGGGAACAAAAGAAGATTAAAGCCCTTTTCCCCTTCTTTTAGTGATCATTGGTACCTGTCAAGACTGTTCGGCTACATGTAACTACTTCTCAGGAGCAGAATGGGAAGCTAATTTGGGCTTCTGGAATACATTTTGCGGCCTTTAAGAGAGGATTCTGTCTACACTGCACAAGCGTTACCACCAAGAAGGGAGCAAGTTTCCCCTTCACTTTTAATGAACCATCAACATGCTTCTAGAAATACCCGATTTAAATCCTTTTAAAAACAACCAACCAAGAAATCTCTAAATACTAGGAACCACGCACCCAAGGCAAGAATGGAAGAAAAGTTTTCTGGAAGAAATAAATCAATCCGCAAGACAGCCTCTCTACTGTAAAGCTTCAGCTAAAAGTCACGCAATAAATGAATGACTCGGAGACGCAGTTCTGCAGACAGCTCTGTCACCCATTTGGTGCGTGACTTCAGCTGGCAGTGCTCCTTCCTCTCTGTTTCTGCTCTTTCTACCTGTAAACCAGGGAATTACTTAACTTTCCGGAGCGCTTGGGGGTCATTTCACAAATAGGTATAAAAACCTTTCAAAATCCTGAAAGAAAACGGTAGCAAAAGCGTGGTGCATGGGATGATGCTTTGAAAACATTGCGTTCCCTACTTTCTGACCCATTCTTTTAGC